AAACAAGAAATCAATGCATGAAAAAAGGACAATTGAAAACATCTGCACTAAACAACTGCCTAATGAGAAATGATAGTTCAGTAAAATCGAACAGATGGAGTCACATGCATCATGAGGGTGCATCGCATGATGATTTACATGCAAAGACACTATGAACCATATTAATCGTGTAGTAAGTGGGAGTTGAAGGACTGTGGCATGCGGAAAAAATTTCGCATGTATAAATGGCAGCACTAAATGAGAATAGCTATGTGTGAGAAGAGGTAAGATAATGTATTGTAAATGGAGTCTAGCTACCCTTTCTTACTAACAAAATGCTCAGAATAGGGTTCAGTGCAACATGAGTACAATGGTCTACTTACTAGCAGAAGATACATCATGAAGCATGGAAGCTGGCAATCAGACTGGATCACCATCAACATTGGTCTCCTTCAAGGGTCACCACTCACACCAGTTTTCTTCAACATTTACACCATGGATCTAATACACCTTGACATTCTAACTTGATGTTATGTGCTAATCTTTACTAACACCATTATAGTGTACAGCAGAGGCTTTGGCAAAAAGTGAAGTCAAAAGTAAGATGTTGGCTCTACTTTAAACCCAAACCCAGCCACTGGGAACCATCATCTTTGTGGGGGTAGGATGAGGGATCCAAATCGAAGGGGTGAACGTCTCACTCCCATATATTTTTATGTTTCATATTGAAGGATATTACATCATCTACACCAGAAAAACACCACCATCCTACTCTCAACTGAATGGTTCTATAATAATTTCTATATTTTGTATTTCATTAACCCATTCAGGAGGATGCCTCCACGGTTTACCACCCCAGCAGCTTGGAACTGGAAAGTGGTAAGGACTCTCAAACTCCACTAAAAAAAAAAGGGGGGGACTGTGGTGGAGAGTCTGGAGGAAGACAACACCTGAGACATTGCAATGGGTGATCACAAAACCCTATTTTTAAAAGCAGACCATACCAATTTATTCAATACAAGGTATGGCAGGGATGGGCAGCTATCCCCTTCTGCTTTACCCATGTAGTCTGTGGGTGAGTACTGTCCAGAACAGGCAAATTTATGAAGCAATTCATACAAGTGATCTTGTGGAGCACGCCATCTCTGTAGTGTGCATTGCGTGGCCATGGAAATATAATATGCAAGTCGATATGGCCTTACAGTGTGGATTTGATTGGTTAAAGAATACCTGGTCAGGTACTACGTGCCACAGAGCAAGATCTAAACAATGAACATTAATAAAATGGAAAAGGGCCCCTAAAAAGGAAAAATAAGAATAAAACTTACCCATTCAAAGTTTCACTGAATTCTGATAGTCTAGAATGGTTGCAAGTGGAAGACGATAACTCGACAAGGAAGAAAACTGTGATCCGATGCAAATACTAAGAGACGAACGTATCATGCATGGTAACTCCAAAGGACAACGAAGATGAAACGGAAATGAAAAGGTAAAGTGACGAATTGGGTGAGAAGACACTCAGAACAAAGTACATGAGGAAGATGATAAATAGGAAGAAGCCAACTGAATGAAGAGCCGAACCCATTTGGTGAAGGAGGAAGGAGAAAGAACACAAACAGAGGATGGTTGCCAAGGAAGGAAAAAAAGTGGGAATGGACACCACAGAAGGAAGCTGTGCAGGCAATATAACAGAGAAGAGCATGTACAGGACATAGAAGTCTCTCCGGATCAGGGCAAGGATAAAGGTGTGAAACAGAAGAAAGGAAAAGCAGTTAAACAGAGGAATTATTTTCATAAACTGCCTAAGAAAGGAGAAGATAAGTAGAAGGATAAAGAGGACATGAAACACTGATTGCTAATAAACAGACCACCAGGCAAATAGGAGAAGGAAGAAAGACATAATTGAAGGTGAAAGAAAGAGCACTTGGATAGTGGTTTGAATGCAGGCAAAGTGAGGCAGTGCAGGACCACATTAATATCCCAATCCAAAAGGACAGCCCACCACAGCAGATGACAAAACACATCCACAGGTAAAGTGTAGAAGAGTGAAATACCTGAAGGATTGGGAAAAACGAAAGGTGTGGGACAGGACTGCCTGAAAATCCAAGACCAAGGAGACAGAAGACCCCCAATCCAAAAGTCAAGAGAGGAAATTTGCATGATTTAGAACAGTGGGTTGATCAGGGGAAAACTCTGGACCCAGAAACTAATGATGGAAAAATTCCATTTACACTGAGAAATTTCCATGTAGGAAGTGTGAATGAAACAAGCCAGAAAAGAGGCTAACCATTGGGAGAAGCTGGATCACCTCACCAATGACCAAAAGAAAAACAGGTGTGAAGACAGAGGACTGGAAGGTCTGGATGAAATATCAGTGATTGAGGGTGGGGAAGAAGGGATGGAGACAGAGGAAAAGGTAACAGAGGAGGAAGTTCGAGCTGGAGAAGCTGCAGAAACCACAGCTGAGAAGGCCAAGAAAGAGCTATCAGAAGGACTGAACAAAGAGTGTCAACGATGAACAAAATCACCCAGAGAAGGACGAGAACGGGAGGACAGACAAATGTGTAGGTCCAAATCCTGGCTGAAAACACAGATAGGCTGAAAAAAGATGAGGAACAGGAGACTAAATCCAAGGCAATATTTGGTTAAGGGATGTAGAAAAAACCTCAATGTGAGGAGTACTCACTGAAGTGAAAGCCACTGGAAAACAATAGGATTGAGAGATCACTTCGTCAAACATGAATCCAGTCTACAACAAAAGTCAAAGTACCTGGAACATGACAAACAATGATAGGATTATCAAACATGTGGGCCCAAAAAGAAGATCCCACTTGTGAATACAGAGGGATGCAGGGTATGTGTTGCCCTGGTGATTGAGATAAGCAACTATTGAAGAAAAGTAAAAATGGATCATTACCAGACGATTTCTGTCCAGATGGAGAAAATGAACCCAAACATAACCTAGAGCAAGAAGCTCAAGGATGTTGAAAGGATAAGACCTCTCTGTTGCAGAACAAAAACCCGATTCTTCCAGTTGATCAACCCATGCCCCACATCCCCGAAGAAATGCATCCATGAAATGTGGAAAACCAGATGAGGAAGAAGTGAGATACCTGCCAATGAGTGAGTTATATCTAACTACCAACACCGATCAATGACAAATGAGAAAGGGTAAGAAAAGCTGACAAAGGATCCCTGCAAAAATCCACTGGTCATGAAAAGCCTACAAAAGAGCCTGACCAAAGGGGATAAAAGCTACCATGGAAGATCACATCCCCAAAAGGGATAGAACTTCACAAGCTGTAATCAAACTGAAAACCAATTGAACAAATTTGAGGAGAAGCGCAGGCCCGACTGAGATGTGTGTAGAAAAAGAAAAACACCCAAGTGGACAAGATATTGGATAGGTCTCATTCAGGACTTCTTCAACTTGATTAACAGTTTATTATAGCTGCCTCCAGGAACAGTTGATAAGGGTACCAAGGCAGACTCCTGTTTGAAATGAGCTAACAGTAGCCAGTCAACCAAAGAAAGAGGAAAGCGCAACCTGAGAGAATATAAGGGTCGAATTAATGCTCTGAACAATCAACAAAAATATACAGGGCTGAAGCAAGTCCAAAGGCCAGTGCATGAAACGAAGAAACCACCCTGTGGAGAATAAACCAAAGAGAGGATCACGAGTGACAAAATAGTGGGATATGCAAATAAGCAGTCTCTGGTTTGGTGCGAGAACAACAAACAGCCTAGAATAAAAGCCTGGAGACAGATGATAAATAGATGCAATGGCCTGTAGAGACAGTAAATTTTGTAACACCTAGGACAGATGCAGTCTGGTGGTAGGATCCCAAGTCAAGGGGAAGGAAAAGGGTCAAGGGGAAGGAAAAGGGTACCAGGGACAAATGAAGTGGGGAAAGAAATAGGAAGATAAAACTACTTTTTATCAGCTGTTTTATTCATATTGCTTATTTGTAATGGAGAATAAATACCTTGGACATTCGTTATATTTTCTAAATGTTTCAACTCACTGTTTAAACTTTATTTTTAAAAACTCATGTTTAAGTATGTAATTTTGACAAAAAGTAATGAAAATGTTTTTCAGCTTCTTTGTGTTCTTACATTACTACTGATAATTTCACTGATCCAAACAAAATTTCAGGGTTTTACAGCTGAAACATTAAAGACATATGATTTTGTTTGTTTGTAGTTAAGCACAAAGCTGTACAATGGACTATCTGTGTTCTGCCCATCATAGGTATCGAAACACGCTTTCTAGCATTGCAAGTCCACAGACATACCATTGTGCCACCAAGGATCAAAGTCATATGACTGTTTTATATCAGTCCACATAACAAAAAAACATATTTCAAGCAACTATTAGACCAGATGCATGACATATTCTTAAGCTAAAACATTAACAAACGAACCCAAAGGTTGATTTCTGTGCCAAAAAAGGATTAACTTGTATCTCTAAATTTCATATCCTGAATAATATTGAAAAGATTTCATAATTATATAATGGAACAAATCTGAGGACATCTTGATGATTAAGCCAGTACACACAATTTTTACACTTAAAAAAAAACATGAAGAGGCTCATTGATACACATTTTAACAGTTCTCTACACACCTTTTGTGTATTACTTTTGCTAACACTATGGGTTGCTACAAGTATGGTTGAAGGATAAAATAATTAACAGATGAAACAAAACTATTGTTAAAAGATGAAAAACAGAAAAAAGTATGTTTCTTAATACATCAATGCATATTTGTCAAAACAGAAAGATACTATGTTGTTTTGACAAAAACAAAAAGATATTACATGCTTAATGTCAAATTTAATGTAGGATAAAAAGGTGAAGTAAAGAAAAAATAATACTTCTTTGTGTTTGTCCTTTATTTATTTTCAAAATTATATCACATTATTAAATAGCATAGCAGTATTCTATTTCCTCCAATTTAAGTAATAGTATTATGAATACTGAACAGCTTAGAAAAACTAATATGGATAGAAAAATACTTACGTTGCAAGTACAATAGCAACAGCATCATTTAAAATGGACTCCCCAAACACTAACATATTGAGAATAGGATCAATATCCAGGGCATGAAATATGGCCAAAGTAGCTACAGGGTCAACAGCTGAGATCAGAGAGCCAAATGCTAAACTTTCTGTAAAGTTAAGCCGATATGCCACATCTGCCTGAAATAAATCTCTATTTAACACACTAATTTAATAAATATTACACATATCTCTAAATGACATATGAAAACCTCACAAAACCAGTAATTATACTTTTTAGGCATATGTTTAAGTTTATACATTCAGTCTTGCTGCTTCTTTAAATCAAGTAACCTCCTTATGATATATAATAGGACTGGTCACTCCACTTTAAAAAAATAAATGACAAAGAATATGCTTTAGTAACCAGTAATTCCATATGTAATTCAATATAGGGCTATCAATATTTCATTATATGATGAGGATTTGATGTTAGAATTAATGTATTTAAAACAAATAGTGATTGATAGAGGGTATTAACCTCAAATCATAGATAGGATGTACAGTAAATATTATAACAAACTTCAAATTTCTAGCTATAAGAAATTGGAAAAAAAAAAAAGGAAAATAGAGAAAGAATATATAATTGCCTCATTTTTTTCCATGATCAATAAACATAGGTGATGTGTTTAAGCAAAACTTGAATTGCCAATTAACATTTACTCCTCACTTAAATTAAGTCATATCATTAATGGTTTGAAAGACAAAATTGAATTGAGGGATAAATGTGGTATATACAAAATTTCATGTACTTGTCATCTAAGTTATATTGGACAGACAAGTAGGAACCTAAAATATAGAGTAAAATAACATCAAAATTGTGGATAAATTAAAAATGGGTGAATCAAATTTGGCAGAACATGTGGCGGATTTTAAACATATTATTGATTGAGATAAGGTAAAAATTCTTAAACAGTAAACGGAAAAAGATGAAATTGTTAAAAACAAAATGAATTTAAATAGAGATTTAGGCCCAGGAGCCACAGAAATAAATTTTTGGAAATTATTGTTTTAAATAGTGTTATTGTACAAATATGCTAATTATACACAAACCTTAGGTTTATAAGCAATGTTATGTGTACTTCTTGATGGATTCTCCTGAAGATGATGGAATTATTTCCACCAAAACATGTAGAGATTTAAGTTTCTTTTAACTTATATATTTTTAATTTTTACAAATAAATGATTGTACAAGTAAAAAACGTTGATTTTTCGTTTTATTATTTTATTTAACCAGTAATTGGCCATAAAACCAATTATTTCAAAAAGGCCAATATTAGTTGAATAATTGCCAGATTATTACCAAAACTAAATAATTTCTGAGTCTTTCTATGATTGAAATGTGAAGAAAAGAAAAAAGTTATGCTTGGTTTTTTTACAATTAACCTATGCCAATTAAGAAACAATCACTCCACTTAAAGAAACTAATTCCTATGGCAGTGCTAAACAGACTGAACATTGAGTCTTGTCATTTCCTAATTACTACATCTGTACTTCATATCACCACCCTGTTAGGAACAGGGATAAGCAGAGCTTATGGAATAAAATAGACTTATAATGTTCATATTATTGTGCAAGCTGCCAAATAAATTTATGTCCAATGATTCATTCCTAAAAATCAAAAATTATTGTTGGACAATACAATTTTATGTGGAAGCTTACACAATAACTCAAGTGCAAAAATGTTTCATTTTCCATTTATAACATGTAAATTAGGTTAATAAGATTAAATTCTTTGCTGATAAATGAGATGAATTTAGCACACTGAAATTCAAAAATAGAAAAAGCAATAAGCAGCATTTATAAGATAGAACTAAAAGTTGTTTGAAATATTAGAAATGATATCAATGAAAAAATAGCTTTTACAAAGCAAACTAATAAGAAAACCTGGAAAACACTGCTGAATAAAAAAAAAAAGAGTTTATAAAATAAAACAATTACTACAGAAGAAAAATAGACAACTAGTAATAAAATAAGTCTTTCTTCTGAAGAACAAATAAATTATTGGATTTTAAAGGCCAACTTAAAAACTATAGTGTTTTCAGCATCACTGTCCCCTTCTGGAAACTCTTCAGGTACCTCTTTGTAAGAAAGAAATGCTAAAGTGGTATTATTAGATAAAACACTAAAGCCAAGAGGCAGGTATTAAGTCAACAAATGAGAAATTAAAGAGGAAATGTATTGCAGAGAATAAATAAAAAATGAACAGTAAAAGTATAGCTCAAACACCTGTGTAATAATAAAAAAATATTTTTTGTTATACACATACTTGAAAACATAGAAGCACTGACTTCTCTGGCTTTTGAAAAGAAGAGAAAAACCTCTTCAACCATGAAGATAGAAAAGATTATGTATATTCACTTAGTTTTAGTGCAGTACCTCACAATCCTACATTAGGGGTCATTCTGTTTTATATATATATTCAAGATGAGATAAACTTCTAACTTACAAATAAAATGTAAAAGCCTCCACACTGCTCTTTCATTTGAAAATGACCTACACACTACAAAAGAGACAGATTAGAAATCAGGCCAAACAAATATAGGCTCTATGGAATGGTTGCTGTGGCATGTAACCTTAGCCTGAGGCGATGGTAATATCAAGTTTACAACTATTTACATTCTGTCTACAAGAACACTATGTAAATGCAAAATAACTGGATGAAAACTTTAAAAACTATTACTGAATACATCTGAATATAGAGAGTCTCATTCGCCGAGTAAAAGACCCCTTTTGAGAAAGGTAACAATCTGATTCAGTTACTTGTTCTCTACCACCAGTTGATGGTCTCCATCACTGCTCCTCCTTCTTAGGCAGTCCAAAGTTCTCTGATATAGAGCCAAGGTCTCTGTCCATTTGTTGGCCTGATTGTGGTGCCATTACTCAACAACAGTTTATGCTATCAGGTGCTTAGAGGTCACACAATTTGTGGTCCAGCTTTTAGTGTGGCCACTTAAACTCAAGTTAGATGACTTTGACAAATGTGCTCTTGGCATCATAAAAAATGATGATATTTTGTTTTTTATTACTGTGCTTCCTCAACTTTCAAGAAATACAACATCCTTCTATCAGACATTGCTTATCTTAGCTAAAAGACCTATTGCTGGTTCTACTGAGGTAAAGGATCTGCAGAATGGTACAGAAAAATAGGTCATGGCTAGGGTTATGGTCTTTATGTTGCAATTACCAGCACTCTATACAGCTGGAACTGATGCAGGGTCAGGGACAAGGAGTAATATCTCCACCAGCAATGCCTCTACCTTTAGAGGTCAAGGAGACCAGGATGGCTGGAGATTCAATTATATTGTCCAACTCTATGACAAAAAATTAAATCTTCCTCAATGTCACAATGGTCTTTTTTTATCGTAATTTTACTGGTTAGTTTCTGATCAAACAATAAGATAGCCAATGGTCAAGAATCATGATTTTTTTAATAGAAAAAGTCAGGAATGAAACTATGCCAAACTCAGGTAGATAGATTAGAAGATTAGATTTGATAGATTAGAAGTACAGCTAGCAATGTAGGATTTTAGCCACACCTAATCATGTCAGGCACAACCCAATCTAAAAACAAAGTCACTATTTCGGGTGCAGTGTATGTGTAACTCCTCTCAGTAGGAAAGGTGAATGCACTCACACTTCTACTGCAAGAATGCACTGCCCAAATTACCTGTGAATAAACAATCCATCAAGTTTCTATGGGAGATGCCACTCAAAGCTAACATAACTAAAACTCCTTACCATGCATTATGTTTGAGGGGTTTACTGGTGATTAAAAGGATTAAGTTTAACCCAAGGTGAAAACATTACTCGACAGTTAATATATTTCTTAAACAGATTACCAATGTATGGGGAAATTGTTTGAGCATATGGTAGATAAACATTTTTAATATAAACCTTAGTAACCATATACTAGGAGGAACAGTGTGTTGAGTAGGGGAAACACCTTTGACCCAGAGACCAATGGCAGAAAAGGTTCCATTTACGTTGATGAATTTCCATGGAGGAAGGGTGAATGGAATGAGCCAGAAAATAAGCTACCTGTATTTTTGAATAAAGGACAGCACTGAACGAGAATAGCTATTTGTGTGAGAAGAGGTAATGTACTATATCGGGAATTACCAGATAGGGAAATATTCTTATAATTCTCAAGTATCTTTTGCTTACTTGAATTTATTGTGTAATGAAGACTTAAATGAACTTCAGACTAACACAGACACCACTAAGAGATATTTCTTAGACATGAATTGAAAACTAAAAGTCACTTAGATGACAAGAAATAATACCACTTTCTGCACAGTTCAACAGTTTTTTTGTTTGTTTTTGATGTATACATAAGCAGTAGCTAAACAAATACAGTAATAAAATAAATCATCCTGTTTAATATTTTTCTTTAAAATACTATTTGCATATAATGTAACTGATAAATGAAAGTGTTAGACAAATTCTTTTATCCTGTTAACCATTTCATTAACAACTTACTGTATCAATTTTTCTTTACAAAAGAAATAGCAATGCATGTTTGAAATCTTTCTTCAGGTATTACATATCAGTGTTGAGATGGATAATATCTCTGCATTTTATGTGTAATTTACTGGCTCTTAGAATCAATTCTCATTAGGCATGAATTGTTTATGAAAAACATATGGTAAGTTAAAGTGATGTTAGTTTATCAGGTCAAGAGCTACTCTCATATCTATACAATAAAAAATAACATAACATCACAAACTCATGAAACACATGTGTATGGTAACTGTAATACCATGTAAAATTACACAGGTTTTGATGTTATTGCTACAACACTTTCTGATGCACTTTGTGGAAAATGCAATTTCTTATTACATTATGAATTATGCTGGACTTGATTAACAACCATGGTAATAGCACTTAGAAGCAAAATACAAATTATAAACTTCTGATGTAAGATATGTTAACAGTTAAGTAACATGCTAACTTATCTTAATGAAAGCTCTGTTTTTACATTCTACTGACACCTACTAAATCCAGGAATTTTGAAAGAAAATATCTATACTTACCAATCCAAGCAGATACACTCCACCTCCAACTATTAAGGCAGATACTGTTGTTCCAATAATAGCAAAAATCAAAATTGATCCTATGTTTTGAAAAAAGTTTCCCTGAAGAAAGATAATAACAAAATAATTAAAAAATTGTATTGTGGAAAATGGTGTAATAATCTACCAATTGTATCTGAATATCAACTGAATAAAAAAAATTTATGACAAGAAATAATAGACAGCTAGCATGTGTAGCAAAGCATTTATTTAACAAATTTAATACTTGTGTAAATTCATTTCTATCTATAATAATCAGCAATTGTATTGAACTTTAAGAACTTGTACTGATTACCTTGCATTGTATAATCAAAAATTAATTTGTTGCAAAACACATCTCTTATATTGTTCACACTTTAATGCACATGCATATAAAAACAGTAATAGACACAGCCTTATTTTTTACTGTGGTGAAATCAAGAGTAGCAAACGTGTGAATATTAAACTAGAAAATCATAAGCAGTTCTCTGCTCCACCAATGTAAATTTGTTTCCAGTACCTCTATCATGTAACACAACTTGTATATTACTTCCTTATATTGCACACTTTTTAGTACAACCAATCAGTGTGGGAAGGAGTGTAGAATTAAATATCTCTTTGATATATATTCTAGTTATAAAATGTTAACTTCAACTATGATACCACCTCTATTTTTATACTATTCTAGAGTATTCACATTGTGCTGAAGATAAAATCAGTAATGTTCTGGAGAATGAAAGAAACATTTAAAATTAATCTTCTGAATACTGACAAGGAATTCAGTGAATCCTATGGCCAGAAATATTTTTGTCTTCCAACTAGTTTATCAGATCATTGTGATCTACTACAGTTGCTCAAACACAAAAAACAATTCACCCAAGGACAAAACAATGAGCACTCTATATTTGTAATATGAAGGAGCATATTTGATACTTACCCATACATTGTTGCCACAGAGAAATGAAGGACAAATGCTAAATAACACATAGGCTCTATACTAAAAAAATGCCTGAGATATTGTAAACTAGAATTATGAAAAAGTCACATGCATTAGAAAACTTCAAAGATTAGAGTGAAGTCTACATGCTTCAAAGAATAAACAGCCTTTCAACGAAGCTAGCATATATTAAGGTTGTTACTCAGTTCTACTGAATAACTGAAATGCTTGTTACACATATTAAGTTTGTTACTCAGTTCTACAAAATGACTGAAATGGTTATTAGGCACATGCCTTACTCTGGTCAATACTGCCACAAATTCAGAAAAAGAACATCAATGTTAGCCAAATGAAAAAAAAACAGCATAGAAAAACTGAGTAAGACACCGAGAAATCACTAGATGAGGAAGACAAAAATGTTACAAAAATTTAGAAGTACCTGTTGTTGTTAAAAGATAAGGGCAATAAAACAATAAAATTTAATTATAAATAGATGTATACTGTTACAAACTTAGAGCTACTTAGGATAAATTAATGTAGTTTCATGTTACAATTTGAAGTCATTCTAGAAAGAAAAAAGGTAAATTTTATTAGATTTATTTTGATTTTTTTGGGTGATTATGAGGTTGGTCTAATTGACAAATTCCATTTTGAGAAAGGGTAGAGAAAATAACAGATAAACTATAAAGTTTTACTGAAAAAAAACGTTGGAAATGCATTTAGGAGGTTTTAGGGATTACACAAAGTATTTTTAATTTTAACAATTACTTTGCACACGGACTATTCATAACAAATACTCAATATATTTCTGGACAAATCTTTATTTTAGTTTATTAAAAATACTTCACTAAAAAATATGATTTTTTTATGTGAAAGACTTATAATGTTAACTGAAAAACTGCCAAATTTTGTGAAGATATACACACTATACTGAAAGTTAGAAGTATTAAATCTATAAAGACTATACGAGTACAAAGAGGTCACATGGTCTGTCAAATCGACGGACCCCGTGTTGAGAGAGATAATAGGTCAACAAGCTACTATTATGAATTCCCTAAATCAAACAATTGAATTCCATGACCAGGAAATACAAAAAGTATCCATTAGTAAATATCACCAACCTATTAATATATGCTATGGGAAAAAAACTGAGTTACATGAAGTAGAAGCTGAAATCTTAGTTTTTAACACCTGAATTCAGAATCATTTGTAACAATTAGCCTTTACAGTAGGAAATGGCACAAGTGCTGTATGTTTCAACAGATAGCAAGTTGAGTCCTTACTTTTTTACCCACGAGTAAACTGGAAAAAATATTAGATGAAATTGAAAGGAGACTACCCCTGCACTTATCTCCAAACACAGCAATAAGATCTACATGTACTATACATGAGCTGATGTGAAAACAGCTACAGTAAAAGACACCACACATGTTTATAGATACCCTTAAAAGCAATTGATCAAATATATGAACTATATCGAGCAATATCCTTACCCTTAGCATTAAATAACCACAGAAAGCAAAAAAACCTACATAGCTGTTTCTGATGATCAACACACTTACCTAGAACTAAGAAAAGAGGATATGTTAATATGTATAGAAGGACCTATAAGATCACGTGACTCTGTTTTTGGAATTTATTCAGTGGCCGTATTAAATTGTAACTATGTGATTTTTACAGGTACAAGAAGTAAAATAACAGAATTGTGTGACAAAAGAGTGAATATCCATAAACCACTTTACTTCTTTAACACAAGAACTCCAGGGACATGGTTGTTTAATGTATGAAATGAACTGACTTTATCAGTAGTTTTCTCAAAATTAAATGTACACCATTTTGATTATCAGACTAAAATGATCAGGTTAAGAGTGAGTGGATATTTGAAATTAGCTAGAAATTGTTCTGCACATGCAAAAGGGATAACATTACCCTCCTGTTTCAAAAGTAAAACTAAATACAAAATGGCACAATTAAACATAAAGATACCTGGCTGGCTAGAGGAAAAATCCCAGTTAATCAGAGGCATAGAAACAGATTCAGAAAATAAAGTGCTGAGAATTATTTCAGAGCAAACTCCAAAATCACTCCCTAAGCATTCTGGACTAACCATTAAAGAATTCCAGCAGCATATAAAGCACTTAAGGGCTACCACAGAGAAACACAAAATAGATAAATAGAAACTGTCAAACACTGTATTAATAACACACTGCTTAGTAATAACCTTAGTAAGCATAATGTTACATAGAGCACAAGATAAACTAGCATTTATCAAGATGCTAAAGTTAGATGGAATCTTAAAGTTCAGAAAGAAAGAATGAAAACAGAGAAAGACAGCAGAAAAGTGTCATAATCTGAGGCTACAGAAGTAATTGAGCTGAATGACTGAGAATCATCACCTTTATATTAGGAGATAGGACAGATTAAGCAACTTGATGTGAAAATTGTATAGACTAATAGGAATCAATGATGTTAGTAACTTTTAAATGAGTAACTAGAGAATTAAAAATTAATAGGATTAGCTTAAGTGTTGGTGAGAACGAGTGATGGATGAGAACCGATATACAAGAATTGATTAAAAATGAATAATTAATCATTAAATAGTAGTGATAATGAATTGGCAACATGAACAACGAGAATTGATAGAAAGGCGGAAACAACTCGGAATCAAACATGAACATGTCAAAACAATGGCAAAGAAAATGCAAACTGAGAGTGCTTTACAGACTACTGTTGATATTTACAATCTAGTCAAAATAACTGTGTGTTAAAAATGTAAGACTTCCAAGGGTAAATTCGGCAATTGTGGAGGTGGCTGATGCCTATGTCATAAAAGAATAGGCTGTAAAAGCCTGTTTTACAGGGTGGCATGAGACTTAAAGTTTTAGAATGCTCTTTCTGAGGAGTTTACTAGGGTAGGAAGATAATATACTCATCAACTGGTGCACAGCCCATCTACTTGAATGGTAGAAATGGAAGTTGGACTTCACAGGGTTAATTGATACATGTTGTGATATTAAACAAGAATATACGAAGCTGTACACTAAAGAAGAGAAAAAAGTCAGACTACTTGCTTGATTCACAGCATTGCCATGTGTGAACATTCAAGTGTTCGGATGCCCTGCATATAGTTGACTCATCGTCCCCACTAATGATAGAGTGCTATGAGATTACCATGTAAACCAAGACGAACATTGCAGCATGTGGAAGGTGTGCACACTTTATTACCAGAGGATGAACTGCCCAGCATTCTACAACTTCAGAAGCAAATCTTGAAGAAGACAACAAACATGAAGAGTTGGAGGATGGAAGACATTGGTATTATTCAATTGAGGTATTTGCAATATGGGAGTCCTTTGATTTTTCTTTTCCAGGTTTTTATAATATATAAATCTCAGCCTATTAATATATGTTTGAATAATGGTCTTACTTTTATTTACTGAATTTAATTTTTGTTTTGTTCTATGTCATTTTAACTTCTCAATACATAAGTGTGGAAGTAAATATAAAAAAACACATATGAACTAGTATGTATCACTGTTGATTTTCATAATAGAGTAGGTAAAATAATTAGAGTATTGATAAGAAGAGTATTGATAACATGAAATATGATTCTTATGGATGTTGATTTTATGTATTAATTTTATCGTTTTGCCTTGGTGTTATCAACATAATGTTTATGAAGGTACAAAGTACTTAAAAATTGATGATGTTGAGATTCCTTTATTGTACTACAGGTTTGATTATTGCATAACTGGAGAATTGTTACTTGATTATGTTATTTGTTATATGGCTATGAAGTTTTTGAATTTTATGGACCTTCAATTGAGTTGCCATTGTATAAGTAACACCCAAAAAATGTTTTTTTGTTTGTTGATCAGTATCGTACTTACAAAAAACTTAAGAAATACATAAACAGTGAATATAATCTGGACTATAAAGTGTAAATTATAATGTATAATGAGGTATATAACAAGTAAAAATTTATTATTAACTGTGTAAGCGATGTTAGACATGATGAATGAGGTGGCACAGAGAGATTGTATAATGACTTTTTTTTTAGAAAAAAAAATTTAAGAGGGGAGGAATGGTATTTGAGGCATTACAGACGATTCTAGGAGAGAAAATTTAATATACCACATATGTTATA